GCTTGGTGAGGGAAACCAGGTGTGTGCCAAAAATCCAGCTGGAGAGAGTTGAAACCATGCCAGGGAGCTTCACGTTATATATTTTTTTAAAGCAAGAAAAGGGACCCTTAGGAGAAGTCCTGAATCCATCGCTACTGCTGTGGTCTTGGTTAACCAGAGACAGCACCGAGTTTCCTCCATTGATTGCCTCTGCTTAATTTTCCATGCAACTTGACAAAAAGGAATGTGACAAGTTCTATCTCAACTTGCAATCAGGCAAGACAGGGCTGTGTTTGTCCTTGCTGACCCAGGAGACTGAGAAGCCAATTAAAACTCCTTCTCTTGTTTCATGTTCTGGTGGTAGAATCAATGCAGAGATGAAGGGCTGGTCCAGAGCATGTGGGAGGAGGTGCTGGGGCTTCCTGTCTGGTGTGGATCCGGGACACCACTTGGATCAGCCTGCTTTATCATTTAGAGCTTGTTGAAAGGCTGAGAGCAATAAAACTTCTGCTACACAAAATATCCTGAGTAGGGCAGACTCCCAGCAGGCCCTTGGCTTCATTGGTACTAGGTAGCTAAGGCTTCTAGAGGCCAACAGGTCCTTTGCCCAAGAAATCTCATGACCAGGGCATTTGGATGCTCTGCTCCCCCATGACTTTCAGCTTGGGGCCACATCCAACTTTTTCAGAGTGTGAAACTTAAATAATTTGTGGGAGGCCTCTTAAAGACAAAGACTACCTAATTATGAATACAGAATTTGGAATGAAAAGAAAGTTTATTTGAAATGAAATATCAAAGCAAACTTAAAAAAAAAGCTGATAAGTACCATGGATGTCAAAATACTTATAAAAGAAGTGATCTTTTTATATCACATATGCCTGTATCAGAACTGTTTTCCTACTTTTCCCCCACCGTATATTCTTAGAGCTTCATCATTATAATTCAGTGTTATCATCATAGTTTCTGTAGCAAGAATGGAAAGCTAATTGTTTTAGCGTAGTTGATTGAACATTGATTTTTAGTTTTTAATAGCGTAGAGATGTACCTGTTTCACGAGTGCCGTGGTTTGGGTAAGTGTCCCGTAAAGGCCTGTGTATTAACAACTTGGGCTTAGAAGCGGATCGACTCTTGGTAGTGGTACAATATTTAAGATCTGGGTCTTATGTCATTAGAGGTGTGAAATCAAAAGGGATTGTGGGGCCAATGCTTCTTCCTTTCTCTCCTTTTGGTTCTGAGTTCATGAGATGAACACTTTGTTCCAATACACATGCTGTTTCCCACTAGGGGCCCAAAGCAATGGGTCTACCTCGTCTCAGTTTGAGCCTGTAGAACTGTGAGCCAGAATCATCGTTTTTCTTGGATATTTGATTGTCTCAAGTATTTCATTATAGCAGCGAGACGTGGTAACACAACCACTGCCTGGTAATTTCATTACTAAGTTATTAGAAAAACTGTTGGCATTATTAGATTTGGAGAAAATCTCACATATTTCTTTCACATGTGAGCTGTACAAGATGTTAGAACATCTCTAGAGGTATGAACATGGGTAAACAGCACCTTAAATACTCTTCAAGTTGAAGAGCTTGTTAACCATTATATTACCAGTTTTATGTTGGTCTTTGATTGTTAGTGTCCATGTTGTGGTTAGTGAGATATTATGGTAAGCCATTCTTACTCATGCTTTTATAATAGTTTAACAAGATACAGAAGCAACTGCAAACCATAAAGTTACACTCCACTGAATCATAATGAACTTTTACTTCTACAATATTTCCCTGTGCCAGATCACCAGGATTCCCACAGCCATTTCTGTTGTCACCCAACTCAAGGATAAATGTGATGGAGAGAGGCGGTGATCTTTACCAAATGGGGTTAAACAAGTTTTGAAAATTGTATGAAAATATATAAGCATGTGATTCTATAAGTAAGGCCTTTGTCAAGACCTTGGAAAGGCCTGTATAAGGAAGGATCCCCTTACACATAAATCTTACTAACTTTATGTTAAATCAATACATACAGAAATTCATAAGAAGTCAGCCTACTTCCAGATGGATGGTAGCATGCTATTGAGAAAAGACTAGAATTTTAATCCAAGTCAATTGCTCAATGTTTTCTCAACTTCAAAGTTGTGCTGGTTTTGCGTTATATTACTGCATATTCCAATTTTCATGCAGTAGATGAAAAAACAAAGCTTTAAGGTGTTACCTTAAGAGGGAAGTAGGTTTTAGTCCAACTTTTCCATCCATAGTAGAGACAACTTCCCCTAGGTCATTTGAACCCCTAAACTACATACATAGTTGTAACTATTTCAAATCAGTATGGTCAGGCTGTTTTGTCAGCCCAGTTTCTTGGAATCCCACAAAAGAAATCCTGTGTTGACCATCTGCTTGCCTGTCTGCCCCTCCTGGAATGGTCGGCCTTAGGACTTTATGATGACCTGATAGGCATGAGTCCTAATGCTCTCTGGAGCATTGTATGGGTTCCATGGGTAGGATAGAAGATTAGAATGAAACCTAAAGCAGTGAAACCAGGCCTGGGACTGAGGCCTACACATTCAGATGTAGGCACAGTGTAATCCGCACAGATGATACTGTGGGACCCTGGCCAGTGCTGGATACGGGTTGGTGACTTTGAAAATTTTGGAGAAGGCACTCTGAAGCACAGGTCCTGCTGAAGTGACCCTGGTTGAGTTTTAGTATAGCACTGGAAAAGTGGTGACAGGACCCTTTTATTGACTTTTCTTCAATGTAGAAATGACTGCAAAGCATACAAAGATAGAACATTCTAGAAAAGCTGACTTTTCCTGGGAATCATTCGCTGTCATCTTAACTGGTTAAATTTAAATGATCTTTCTTAACTAGTATGATCATGAAGGCTTGATTTAAAAAGCACTTACTGTTTGTTTTCATGATGAAATATGTTGACGTTTTGATTCCTGGCTATCTATCTACCCCCTATACTTCTGGCCTAACTCCCTGCCAAGACCTCCTCTCTCCTCTCCTACATGAATTTCTCTTCCAATCATACTTACTCCAGAGTTTCATTGTGTCCACCCCTGGATGTTATTTGTAAAAGATTTTGAAACTTCAGGGTCTGCTTTTCTCTGCTGAGGAAGACCAAAGGATATTGGCACACGGAGGCCATCAGTGGGTGAGCTGTTTTGTGAGACTTTTCCTTCCCTTGCTTCTCCTCTGCTGCTTCTCATTTTCTTCTTGCTCCCACCCAGGATACAAAGTTTTTATTCTGATAGCTGATGGAGTCAGAGTGTGTTGTGGGAAAAGTGCTTGTAGAAACATAGCTTGGTGAATAAAGGACGCGAGGAGGACACGCGAGCTTCAGTGCTTGATGGCTCGTCTCATAAAGGAGAAAAAAGCCTTATCGTCTCTGAGCCCCAAGTGATTCAGTTGGGTGTCTGGATGAAGTTTAGAGAAAGAGCCAATCTCAGAGGATTAAAAAAAAACAACCCATTATGGTTGTCCTACATGAAATGTGCTATCTTGGAGTAACCCCTTAGCAAATAGGTTAGGGACTAGATTTAGAAAAACTTTGGATTTGGAGTCCATTCTTCTCTGGCAAAGTAAAACCAAGCATAAGAAAATCTGGGTAAAATGCCAAGGCTACATAAAGCCCTGAGGTAAAAGGAACTCTTTGATTTTACTTTGTTTTCCTGGATCCAAGTGAATGACATTTCTAGAAACCACTCAGAGTCTTTTACTCCCTCTCTCTATATCTTATCCCACTATATGCTGCTGCCACTCCCTGGCAAGAACTTGTTGACACTGGCTGACTCATTCTGTCACCTGCTTCTGGTAATCATGACTTCCACTCATGGCCTACATATGCATCACATTGCCTGCGACTTAATTCAGGAGTTTATATATTTGGAGCTTAGTGCAAAGCCAATAGGAGAATAAGATGACTTAATCCTTTGCAGTCCCTGTGATTCCATGTATCTATGACTCTTGCATATTTGGGTTGGAATCTCAGTGCTTGTCTTGAGTAGAGAGTGGAGCCCAGTAAGACATGGCTCATGGATGGTCTTTCCCACCTCTGTCTTCTGTCTTTCATTCTCTTCTTCACTGAATAGTAGATTATGATTGAGTCCCAGGAAATGCACTGTGACCTGTCCAGTAGACAAGACCTATATAGTAATTTGCTCACATCACTCTTGCTTCCTATCTGTGTTTTCTTTTGTTCCCAGTCCAATGCTATACCGGCACCAGCAAGGTCACTGAACCTTCCATTACTCCTGTGCAGGATCTCAGATCGTAAGAGGCAGCCAGTCCCCATTTACATCTGAACCATTCCCATTGGTTTCATGGATGAACTCCTCCTACTAAGACAAAAGGAGAGTATACTTCTAGTGAGGCCTTTAAAGATAATTTCTAGTTACCACTACTAGAAAAAATAAACTATGCATTTGCACTAAAAATGTTTCATTATGAGGAGTCTATCTGTTTATAATTAAAAACTACAAAGGGCCAGCCAGGTAGCTCAGTGGGCTAAAGCTAGGCAGAGCTCAGTGGCTGGAGTTCGATTTCAGGTGTGCCATGCCTGCCCTGCCCCTGGGACACACTGAGACAGTGATTGAGACTGGGCTTGGTGGCACACACCTGTAATCCCAGTACTTGGGAGGCTGAAAACAGGAGGATCACTACAAGTCCAGTCTATATAGTGAGACCCTATAGACTCTGCAGACCCTGTGCCAAATACAAAAAGAAATTTTTAAAAATTAAAAACTACAGAGGACAGAAAAGAGTTCAAAAAACAATTAAGTGTATTTATTCTCCATCAAGTGTGGGTTGTGCCTAACCTGTCCAGAGAAAAGTGTGTGTTTCTAGTGAAGGGGATGAGAAGCTAGAATGCCCTGTGCCCACAGCTAAGTTGATTCAGCTCCTACACTGCCACTGCACAGAAGCACACTAACCATGTCAGCTGCTGGGCAGTGCCTGTCACATGCGGGCTATGGATCACCTCTAAACCTTTTGTCTCCCTGGGCTAAGATCCTTAACTTTGGCCACATCACTGATTTGGAGTATCTGCTTGATCACCTGGCAGAAGTGACACCGGCTCTGGAGTACCTCAGCTTGCTGGGTAATGTGGCTTGCCCCAATGAGTTGGTCAGCTTGGAAAAAGATGAGGAAGACTACAAGAGATACAGGTGAGTGGCTATATGGTGGGAGAAAAGGAAGTACCTCATTTTGAGGGGATGATATTATACTGTGGGCTACATACTTTATACTGGTATCAAAGGTCTTCCTGTAACAATGTTAAACTCACTTTTGGAAACTTCAAGGCATTCTTTCCCTCTTTGAGGTCACAAAACCCAAGAAATATGAAAAGCTGTTGAATGTTCTAGGTCAGGGGTTGACAAATTTTGTAAAAAAGGGCCAAATAATGAATATTTTAGGCTCTGCGAGTCACTTGGGCTCTACCACAGTGAATCAGCTCTGCTCATACAGTGAGAAGTAGCCATGAATTATTTGTAAATGAGTGGGCTTAGCTCTGTTCCAATAAAACTTTATTTGCAAAATAGGCAGCTAGACTCAACCCCTGGGTTGTAGTTTGATGGGCCTTGCCCTATGTTGTAAGGCCTTTCTGTGGTTTGTACCATAGTGCAAGAGGCCAGTTAGGAAGAACTTGTATGACGTCCAGCTGAGCAGTGGCACCTTTAAAATAGGAAGAACAACGTGGATCCTGGCCCAGAAGGCCTCTGAGTCATCCAAGTCATCCTCCAAGCCCGTCCTCCACATCTGAGGCCTGCTTCTCTATAAGCATGTGAGGGAAGGAGCTGGGAAGGTGGTTTGCTGGTACACAGATGGCCAGGCTGCTGCGTGAGGCCGGATCCTAGAGCTTGCATGCACCCAAAGGCACATCTCTGCCAAATTACCTTAGAAAATTCCTGTCACCCACCACAGCAGCAAGATGCTTATGCTCTGAGAGAAGCAGCGACTAAGAACGGCAGAGGGAATGTGAGATGCGTGTCTGCTTGGTTACACTTTCACACATTTACCGTGCAGCATGGTTGTGCAGTGGAATGGTAGATTGATTCCCCAGCGCGTTTACATTCTTTATTCATTCATTTATTTATTTTTATGCTTTACTGTTGATTTGATAAGCACTGACCCTTGTATTTAGAAAAGAAAACCCAACAAATGTATGCATGATGCAGTTCTAGTCTGTGGTCTGTAAGCAGCTCTGATTTATTAGCCTGGGATTTTTGCTTCATTTGCCCCTGAGAAATTTTAAGGTTTCACAATATGACTTTTGAATTCAGAGTTCCTGTGGCATTTGTGTTTATCCACAGAACTACAGCTCTTTATTTTTTTTTTTATTTTTTTGCTTTTGGTAAAATATTTTTCCAACCCTTCATCCACAAAGTATGAGGTCTGCCTTCTTCCTAGCTGTTACCCAGAGCCTAAGAGTGGAGCCTCCATGTAAATTTATGTGACATTTTCACTAGAAAATTGCTTAAAAAATGAATGATATTTCTACAGTTTACTGTTTTTCACTTTAAGTACATTTTCTGACAATATGTCTTCTATTAATCATTTAAGCAATAGTAGGAGCCTTAAAGGGGTGGATTCAGAAGCAAGAACCCATGGTTCATTTAGTGCTGTCTAAAAAAATTTCTTATTGATTGGCATCCTCTGTAGTTATGTGATGTAATATTTATAATATGTCACACAGCCATACATCAAAACAAGTGCGTCTCTTGTTTCGTTTCCATGGGAGATGCTGATTTCAAAGAGGTCAGCCCAGTTTTAGGTCATGCTGTGGCCAACCACTGGACCAGAAATGGGAAGTGACTAGATTTATGTAGCTATTGGCAATGGCACCACAGATGCTCTGGGTTTTTCTGAGTCGTTTCTCCTGTCCCCCACACCCACCCCTTTGGCTCTCTCGCTTACCCCCTTTGTATCCTGTTGGATTTTCTTGGCACATGTCCCCACAGTAAAACAGGCTCATTAAATTTCTATGTGAGCATGAACATACTACAGAGTTGTTGAGTAGAGTCCTGGCCTGCTGGGGCAAGAGCAGAACTGTGCCTGGAGTTCCCTTTGCTACTCAGCAGGTTTCATGGCTCAGCAATGTGCATGGCCACATCATCACAGGAGCCTGACCCTACCTGTGCCTTGCTGTGGGGATGCACTGCTGCTGTTTAAGGAAGAACATTGAATGGAGGTGATGGCAGCCTTCAGGGTTTGAGCATGGAGAGGCTGACCATGCAAGGCTTGCCATGCTACTTAGAAACCCTTCTGGCCTCCTGTAGACCTCAACACTGGCCAGAAGAATGAATCAAGTCTGGAAAACATGGGTGCTCAGAGTGGTCTATTGCTTGTCTTCTTTTGTAGTCCACTTCCTCTTTTTTCTGCAGCAACAATAATGCTCTGAAGGTCAACAGTGATCCACAAATGCTGGACTTCACCTTTCCAATAAGGGAGCTGGGCTTCTATGCTCATAGCGTCCCCCATCACAGAAGCCCCTTCTATGAGCTCTCTCCTGCTACTCCAATCTCTGGCTGGCCTCTCCTCCTTCCCGCCACTGCACTAGGTCTCTGTTCCTCGCAACTCTAAATTATTTAAAACGTGACACCCTTCCTTTGTTTCCTGGTAGGCAACAAGGCCGGGCCTGCCCAGCATCTGTAACACTCAGCTTAGGGCAGAGAGGGAGGGACCCTCCGCAGTGCGGCCGCCTGGGCTGCCGCTATTTCCCACCCAATAGGAGCTGTAAAACTTGTGACTTACATAACCCAGCTAGCATGCTCCAGCTAATCTACAATGTGGGCTTTGAAGATCACAAGAAAGCAAAGGTCACGACCCAGAGATCAAAGTGACAGGAGCCCACAGAGTAATTGCCGGTTACCCTCTGCAGAGGGCCTTGGACTGTCCTGTGGGTGTATTGTTTGCACAGAGACTTCAAACATGCTGCCCGTGAACTGTGAGGAAAATCAGCTGGCCTTTGCCAGTTTCCAGGCATTCATTAATGCTGTAGGTGAGCTCACCCGGCTCATTAGAGTGAGAGCATTGTCATCTCTCTGAGCATCTGGAGCTCTTCCACCCCCCACCCCGTGTTTGTTCATGGCGCCCCAGTCTTTATTGGCTTTTTCTCACCCTTCTCTGCTACCTGGAGGTGTGGGGGTGGTTGCACAAGGAAATCGGTGTAACAAGAAGGAACAAGGTGGAAATGGTTTTTTTTGCAAATCAACCTTGAGGCTCAGAGGACTTAGGCAAGGTAGAATTGGAAGGAGGCTTAGCGTCATTTGGTCCACACCATCAATTTTGTTGAATAGATGGAGAAACTAAGGCTCAGGAAGGCAGCAGAGACCAAGCCAAGGTCCTCCAGACTCAAAACTTGGGCTCTTTCTTTTGACCTGTTATCTCCAAATTATCTTCCTTTTTTTCTAATTATGACCCCCGAACTTTAAAAGCCTTGGTTTCTCCAATAAGCTGCGTGTAAACCACACTGCTTTTCCCCCTCCTTAATTGGACATATTTAGCAGTTGATCAGTACTTCTGATCAGCGGGAGGTATCCTGTGTTACCAAACAGAGTGGATATAATCCAGTGAATAGCCAAGAAGTGGGGTGTTTTGTTAGCAGGATTGCCCTGTTCTGCTAAGCTTTGAGAAGGACTGAAAATATTGCATGGCCCACCCACGGCTGCCTCCTGGGGCAATGCCAGGAAGGGCCTCAGTAGCTTGTACCATGCTTCCTGCTTTCCACAGATAGAAGCACAGAGATGGTGAGAAATAACACAGCGAAGCATACAATGCCACAAGCGGAAAGAGTAGAATAAATTCTGGTGTCCCATGCATGGCTCAGCTTCCTTAGGAACTGGAAGCTTGGTATTTCTTGACCAGGTCCTCAGAGAAAGAGACATGGTAGCCAACCCCACCAGCACATCACGGAGACTCAGCCTGAGCCTGGCTCTTCTGTGGCTTGTACCCTATTATACTGGGGAGCAGCCAGTTCCCTGGGATAAGAGTTGTGGGCAGGAGGAAAGAACATCCTCCGCTGCCTTTGAGGTCTAGAGGAGAAATGCCAGAGCACTGGGATTCAAGCAGAAAAAAAAAATATTGATCCTGATGATTAAAAAATAAAAGCCCATGGGTTGTTCCTTTTGTCCTCCTACCACTTTTAGCTCTGTCCTTACAACAGTCTTTTAAGAAAATGAAACACTGTCTGGAGAGAGAAAACCTGGAAAGCTCTGGGTGCTGGTCTCTTACTTTTTCAGGAGATCTGTTTCCAAACAGAGCTAAGTGGATGTGTAAACACCTGCCCAGGTCCCTGCTGTCCTTTTGATAACCTCAGCTCCCCTTTCACAGCCGGGAGTGACTCTGACCACCCCTACGGGGGGGGGGGGGGGCTTCCCCCTGGCCACCTTGAGAAGGTCAGTAAAATTGTAGCTGCCCTCTGAAGCCAGGGACGTGAGACTGAGAACTTAGACGGATCTCTTTTCATTAAGCAGTGCCCTGGCTTAACAAGCAGTTTTATAAATCTGAAGCTGTCTCCGGGTGTCGCAGGATTTATAGATGGAGGTTTCTGCCATAAAGTGGTTTATGACGGCTGCCTTCTGTGTTATTAGTAGCTGTCTCTTCCTTCAACCATTGCTGTTTGATAATAGCCTTAAAACACCCAGAATTACTTACCTGCAAGCCCCATTCCCAATAGCCCTTGTTGACAGTCTGAATAAGTTTACTGCCCTTTTGTTGTACTTTACCTTCAAAACAAACTGATTGAACCATCAATAGTTGGAGGAAGCTGACAGAGGGATGTCATCTGGACTAGCCCTTGTGATTGCAGGTTATCTGGGGGAGTTAACCTTCCCGCATTGTTAACTGAAATGTTTTATGTACTATGCAACTTTAGGATACGGCTGTGATAACCCCAGTAACTAAGTCATACATCACAGTAAAGAGATTTTGGTGCAACAAATAACCCTGGATTAAATTTACAAGGGTTGAATTGATATTGTAAAAAGCCTTCATTCTGTAGCTTTGGGAATCCTCTCTTGTATTTTTATGGCAAACTTGGATGATACTCAGAATTGAAGCTTCAGCTTTTGACATCCTGGCATGACCTGGAACAGAGGGAAATAGATACCCCAAGACCAGACGGGGACACACAAGCGGGAAGCCCACTGACTTACCATGTGGCAGTTATGTGGGGAGCTAGCTACAAGCCTCCAAAGGGCAGGCAGAGCTGAGAGCCACTGCCACAGCCTGGGCTCCATGGACTACAGGTGCTGGGGCAGGCCAGACTGCTCGCAGAACCAGGAGGGAGACTCTTGACTACCTTCCAATGCTCGTAATTCCCAAATGATTATTCCTCTTGGTGTCCTTTTCTCTAGGACATTGGTTCTCTGCGGGAAAGCAGTATCAGCATTACCTGGGAAGTTATTGGAAACATAAATTCTAGGCCCCACTCCAGACCTGAATGAGAAACCCAACGTTATTGTGTGCTCCTGGGTGACAACCACTGTGCTAGCCAGAACAGAGGCTCATTGAGAGCAAAGCCCTTCCTTTGGTTTGTCACTTTATCCTCAGCACCTCTTACAGTTCCTGCTTGGTAGTAGGTGTTCGATAATTACTAGTCACATGTGTGAGTTAGCACCCAAAAGAGACGTCACTAGGGGGACACTGAGGACCCTGGGCTCATCCTGAGCTCTTGGTAGTAGGCTTCCCTGGACTCACTCCAGTCTCCCTAAGCAGTGACATCCTTGGAACCCAGGCTGGCACTTGAGATGGGAGCCCGATCACCCCAAGTCTCCCAGGCCGCTGTGGCATGGGCTGTCTCTTCAATTGTATAGGAAGACTGCCTTGGAAACAGCAACTCTTTGTCATCTCAAATTTTTCACTAGCTTAAAAGCCAGCACCTCTCTAGCTTTCTCCTTTGATTTTAGGGCTGTGATCCAAAGCGAGGTGAAATGACAATGTGCGGTCTGTTATCATCGCTGCTCCTGCCAGCCCCGTGAAGGCATCTTTCACTCCATCATTAAACATTGGCTGATTTTCTAATACGGATGTTGTCTTCACCTGAATATTCATCTTTTCCCACCCTACACTTAGTGGGTGTCTTTATTCCTTTGAGCGTCACTCCTGACATTGTTTCTGTCTGTACTTGTCTTTATTTGAAAGAATCTGTTGTCATCAAGACTTTGCTGCTACGAGTGGAAGACAGAGGCTTTCTCTGACAGTTGGAGGCCGATGGGAATTCTATGAAGGGGTAGAGAGGACACTTAGGCCCTTTTTGGCATTTTCCTGATTCTGGATAATATTAGAGAGCATTTGGGCAAAGTAAGGGAGAAGCCTAGGGAGAGACAAGAAAGGGTATTAGAGGGAAGCCAGGAAAGACGCAGGAGGTGGGCCTTAGTACTGTGCTTGGCTCTTGGGTGCTCAGCATCATCTTTTGTGTGGACAAGCAGATGCAGTGACATAATCATCATGCCGTGAGCATGGGAGGTGGCTCCAGGGACCCAAGGCTCCAGTGTGGAGAGCGCACCGTACACCTTGGGGTCACTCTGGGGTTTGGTTCTTCGAGGCTTGTGTGTGATTTCCTGTTCCGCCTTTCCCCCTTAGTTCTTCAGTGAGTAACATAGGTCCTTTTTCTCAGCTCCCCTAACTCTTCTGCGCATGAACTCTCACACTTAACTAACCCGATTTCTGGTTTTTCCTTGTGGTTGTGTCTTCTCATTCAGCTGAGAGCCCCTCCGAGGGCAGGAACATCGTCGTCATCCCCATTGTATGACATGGTAGTGCTCAGAAAATCTTTGTGTAACTGCAATGAACAGGTATGTTGCTCAGTCCTAAGGCTAGTTTCCAGGATGTGGTCAGGGTAAACAAAATCGCTCTTCAAGATGCTTGTAGCTTAGACAAGCGCATTCACTGAGCACTAAGAAAGTTGAGCATAGTGAAGAGACTGGATGGTGCTACCATTGTATTCTAGGAGCTCTAAGAAAAAGGAAAGTGCGCCTGTGATCCCAGCTCTTGGGAGGCTGTAAGCAGGTGGATCACTATGAGTCAGATCTAGTAGTGAGACCCTGAGCACCCTATAGACCCTTCCCTAAAGTATAGGAAAAGGAAAGTAAAACAGACTAGAGGTGTAGAAGAAATTTTCATTGAGTCTTGAAAGCGTTGAGTCCCGAGAGATGAGTGCCTACTGAGGAGGCTTAAGCAGGAAGGAAGCAAAGATTCTTTGGAGAATCCAGGACTCTGGATGTCAGGTACTCACCTCCCCTTCCTAAGTAAGGTAAGACCTAGGCCAGCGCTCGTGTGATTGATGGAGTTTGGGAGCTTGAGCAAAAGCGTATGGCTTGGTGACTGTCACTAGCAAAGGAGAGATAGACAGGTGCCTGTACCTTTTCTGTATTTATTCTCTATTTATAAACCTATACCCTGGACAAGTGCATCTTTTTGTCTCTCCGTATGCACATCCCTACATGAGGACAGCTTATTAATCCTATAGATGCAGAGTAACCCTTGGAGTCTATCATGAGCATCAGAGTCTCCTAAAGAGAATGGAGGTCACTCAGCATTTGTTGAGGTGTCAGTGGTCTCAAGAAGCCAACTCCCCTTGTTTCTCCTTGATGAAGCTAATCTTAGCGCCATGGTAGAAAGAACCCAGTAACGAGAGCAAAGAAGCCCTCCAGATCTTTGCTTGATTTGCCCAGTCACGTGTGCTCCCTCCTTAGACTCCGAAGTCATCCTGGTTATAACAACCTACAGTTTTTTTTTTTTTTTTTGTTCTACATGACAAAATAGACATCTGCTGAGATGAGAGTGAGACAGAAGCCTTAAAGGAATAATAGGGCTGTAAATGGTGTATTCGAAGTGTAGGTTCATTTTCCTGGAAATTTCCTGTGTAGGGAAGGAGCTGGGCCCATTTTCTAGAGTAGAAGGAGACTACACTGCTAGTCTTACTGGCTGATCTAGGTATATGCGTGCGTGCGTGTATGTGTTGTTCGTGTGGTGTGTGTGTGTGTGTGTGCGTGTGTGCATAAGGCATGTGTACCTTTGAGTCTAGTGTGGCTATTACTGTATGTTTTTAAAGTTTAGCTGATTGTGTGAATGCCATCACTCAAGCTTCCCCGCAAGAGAAGTTTTTTTTTTTTTTTCTTTTTTTTTATCATTTTGAGACAGGGTCTGCCTATGCAGCTCAGGCCTTGAACTCACTTTGCAGTCCGGGCTGGCCTCAACATTGCAGTGATCCCCCTGCCTCAGCCTCCCAGGGCAGGGATTCCAGGCGTGTTCTACCCTACTCGGCTTATTGTTCACTCTTTGTAACAGAAGACCTGTGACTTAGTAGCCAAGAGCGAGACTCCTCATGATGCAATGAAATGATGTAGACTCCTAGGGGTGAGGCAGATGGCTGGGTGTGGGGGGCTGCCATTACAGCCTTTGCCCTGACTCTTTTTCAGATGCTTCGTTCTGCATAAGCTGCCTCAGCTGAAGTTTCTGGATGCCCAGAAAGTAACGAGAGAAGAACGAGAGGAGGCATTGCTCAGAGGAGCCTTCATGAAGGTGGTGAAGCCTAAGGTGAGCTCCCTACGCCATGATGTGCACGAAGGGCTGATACCTCAAGACCCCGGTTACTCCTCAGAGCACAGAAACATCCTCCTGTGTGTTTAGAAGGCAAGTGAGGTCTCACAGCCCCAGTTCGGCCACGCCGATACTCTGTGGGCCTAACAGGAAACAGGGCTGGTGTTGCTATCAAGTGGGTCTTCCTGTGGCCCAGGCTGAGAGGACACTAATCATTAGGTGACCTGACCTGAGAAAGCGGTACCAAACACAGCTCACTGGGGATGTTCTGAGGATTCATTTCAGGGCTATTTTTCAATGATGTTCCCAGAGGGGGCTGCTACAGATCTGGAGCTGAGAGAGGAGAAAGGGCATTTCTTGCTTCTGTGGGGGTAGAGTTCCTCTTCAGCCGGGGTTGGCTCTTCTTTCCTATGACCAAAGAGGAGCGGGGGAGAGTCATTCTCTTCCGTCACGGATGAGAGCTCCACAGCTCCCTGAGGTAACATCGGCACAGACGCCAGCGGTTCCTGACAGTGTGTCCCAGGTTTGGTCTGGGCTCTCCGCATGTGACTCTCCAGAGTGCGTGGGAATGGTGTTTACGACCTTTTCTTTGCAGCTGCAACTGTGAGGGGACCACGCACGAAAGTGGTGTCATCCTAATGGCAGTTCTGATGAGGCAGGGGAGATTTGGCTGGGGTCTTGGATTCAGACACAAGGATGTTTTTAAGGACAGACACAACTGTCTCTTTGGGAAGAGTTGGAGTCCTTTAGTAAAGCCAGAGGCTAGAGAATACACTCAGAGACCTTCACTGACCCCTTGGAGAACTGTCACTCTCCTGGGCTCCATGGAGCTACACATCACTTCCCAGGAGACTGAAGCTTCTGCGTTGAAAATGCTGGCCCAGAAATCCTAGAGGTCTAGTTTGTCCTCACTGAGTGACTTATAGCCCCCTGTACATGCATTGCAAGTGATTAAGGGAGGAAAAGAAAACACAAACAAAACCAAAACAGAGCAGAACAATGAAACCTCTTCCATCAAGCCTCTCAGTTGGCAGCAGACCTCGGGCCTCTTTTTTTTCCCCCCTGAATCCATGAGGTGCAACTGATTTCCCGTTATGCTGAATAAAATTGCTAACAGTTGTGGAAATATATGATATGAAGAGTATAATACTGGCAGATAAATGTATTGTTACCTGTTTCAGCATGTGGGAAATTAATTGAGTGATTCATTTTGTAGCTATTAAAGTGTTAACAGTTCTCCTGATTGAAGCCCAGGTTTGACATATTGCACATGATTGCCTTTCGTTAGTCTAGCTTTCGTAATTTTGTCCAAATGAAATAATTTATTTCTCGGCCTTTTTTTTTCTTGCCTTCTTCCTTCCTTTATTTCTTTTTCAGTGAAACTATTGCAGAAACAGCTGATGTCTCCAAACCCGGCAAAACACAGCAAATGAACTCTGTAATATTCTTGGGTGACAGCCTGCCCCTCCACACTTCTAAAACTTCATGTGGACACTGTGGAGAGTAGATCAGTGTTTCTCCTGCCTTTATTTGCCTCTGCCATAGGAAGGGCTGCATTATCATTGGAAATCAGAAGGAGCAATCAACACAGTGTCCTCTGTACTTGGACAGAGTCTGCACTATGTGCCTACTATCGTGCTGTCCCAAAATTCTTTATACAAATTGGTGAATCTTCACATAATTTTGTCAGGGTCTTTGGTTGACTTTGCAGATTTGGGAACCCAGGCCTGCATAAGCTCACTGGAGCCAGGTCACCTGGCTAGGACCTGCCAGAGGTGGGCTTTCACCTATGTGAAGCCCCTGCTCCTCATGCCCTACTTTATTACCTCTGAAATGGTAAATGGAATGTAATCACTGTGGACCTTTTTGCTCATACCAAACCTCCCAGGAAGACATAAATGCAGAGTGTGGGTAAAGTATGGCTGTCTGTCAGAGGTTGAGGGAGTGGGAATCTTCCCTTGACTTTGAGTATGACTGTGAATGGCTCCGTGGAATCCACCATGAGTCATTAGCAACCTCAGCAGAAACTCTCTTCCAAGTTCCCAATTAATTCCCAATCAATTATAGAATTAGCTCATGTTTGTGTGATTGACTCTAACATCCTTGCTAACTGTATTAAGCTAAAAAATGCCCATTAATTAGAGGAGAGAGACACACATACTCCACCAAGCCCCCAAACCTTAGGTTCTCTTTTATAGCACCACATGATTTCCAAACTGGACAAGACTTCAGAAATCACTCGCTCTGCTCTCTGGTTTTATGGATGAGGGAACTAGGTGAGGGTGCAATGTCCTGGGGTCCCCCAGTCCTGATGAGGTGCAATGAAGACCAGAGCCAGGATTCTTGGGCTTCTGGTTTGGGGTCCTATTTATGCCATGAGAGCAGAAGAAGAATCTGGTGTGTTATTGGTTTGGTGTCAAACTGAATGCCTCTCTTGAATGAGAGATGATGCCCTTAGTTTGTTGTTTTTAGGGATATGATTTGGTAGTTTTCTTGCTAGTAGAAGGATGCCAAATGAGCTTCCTGCTGAATTAATAAGCTGGCATTCAAAAGGCTGCTTTTTCCCTGTTCACAGTGTGTACAGACGGCTGCTTGTTCCTGTGCAGGTGTGTATACTCCTTCCCTCTCTGTGTGTATATACGTATGTATGCAGTGGGAGGTATGCATACACCTGGAGACGGCATCTAAGTGGAGAACAATTTCCTTTCCACGAATTGCAGACTTTGCGCTGAGTCCACGTGGCAAAGACCTATTTTTCATAAGGAATCAGAGTCTCCGTTTGGCTTCTGTCCCCTCCAAGGCAGGAGTGGCCTGTTGTGCTTATTGAGCAGAATGCACTGATGGATGATCAAGGGGGCATGATTTGGGGAGCTGTTTTCATTTTATTCCTGACATAAAGTGTTTGGGAGAATGGAAAATACCTTTGCAATCACAGCCTTTGCCTTGGAGGTAGGGAACAGGCAGGCTGGGTACTCTCTGCTGACGCAAAATGCAAAATCAGCCAGGAACTAATAAACCCTCCCATGTCACCAAGGCTTGAGTTGGGACCTGGCAGGCCCTGGCACCAGCCCGAGAGGAACTCTCTCTCATTCTCTCTCCTGATGACATGCTTTCTTTGCTCCTTTGTTGCCTGTTGGCTTTTGTTGTTTAAGAACTGCCTTCTGTCTGAGCTCTGATTGTTTTAGAGAAAAAACACTGTAATTCATTAGCAAGTGATAGGTAATGTGACAATGGGCCCTTCCAGACTCTGTGACTGTGTGTTTCAGTTAATGGACCTGCGGGGTATCTAAGGTTTACTCACTTCACAGAATTTTAAATAAAATATATATCTTTGTCATCTATCAGCCATTGAATCATGGTATTGTCAATACAGAGAGCATCATGCTGGCTACAGAGAAGGCTGTGGTCCCCAAGGAAAGGTGTCCCCAATGACCAGACTTTGACCCTGTGGCCTCACTGGACAATGTAGATCAAAGGAGTGTGGCGGTCATCCAGGTGGGCATGTGTGGCAGGCACACTGGCCCTGCACATCAGAGGCATGGCTCCAAACCTGACAGTCAGAAGTGCTTAATTACGTCCTGACTTTGTAATTATTCATTCCTGTTCTGGCAAAGAGCATAGTTGTCATTGCTTTGACATAGTTATTTAAAGTCAAACCCTCTTGTTTACAGGACTGTATACAAAGCTGGCTACCAACTGTTTAATCTTCAGAAACTTCTAGAAACCATGAGAGAGCAGCCGGGACTGGTTGCACTGAGCACCACAGTGATACTGGGCAGTGTGTGGGAATGTGTGTTTTCATTTGCATCACTGACTATTCTCTTATGGGCAAGGTGTGGTGACAGATAGGACTGGGAGTGTTGACATCTTTTTGAAAATAAGTTGTACATTCCTTTCTGCGGGTATACCTTGGGACACCATCATCTATGGCTTGAATGTGTGTACAGTTTTATGTAGTTGGTATATTTGTGTGTATACGTCCTTGGGAATTGAGAAGGGTGTTCTATGGTGTGTGTGTGTGTGTGTGTGTGTGTGTATGTGTGTGTGTGTCTATGTAGGATGGAGTAGGGGTAGAGAGAAGGGGATAAAGGACAAATAAAGGAAGATAAGGGACATGAGGTGTTAAAGGAAAAAACTTTGGAGTATATACACTGGTTGAAAATCTTGTATTCGCATCCTTATACTGAAAGTTGGAAGTTACTTGGATCTGAAGATCATCTACCCTCTGACGATATTACAGAGTCCTGCTCTTGACACTGGGAGTTCGGCCCTAATTCCCCTGTGCACCTTGAGTTTCTTCTACCTTTTTGTTTGGGGGTTTCCATGAATAAGGCAAATTGGGATGCTGACAGGCAGAGGAACCACAGAGAAGCTAGCTCACTGTGGGGGTAAGGACAGGACACTGTCCTTCAGTGAGACGCCTGCTCCATCTGGGCGGGCACGTGACCTACTTTGTTTACTTCCTTGGCCCCAGTCCTTGGCCCATACAGAGGCTGAGTCAGTACCCACCAAGAGAATAAACCACAAACAATGTTACTTCTTGGGAGATCCACCATGAAAGCGTGTACTTGTTTCAGTTGCTTCAGCCCAATCGTTTAAAGCAGCAAGAAAGACATCACTGTGTTCAGATCCGGTGAACCTGAGTACCTGTAGGAAAGACGGATTGTAGACAGCTGGATCTTTCCAAAGGCCTCATCTGGAGATTATTTATGATGGGAAAAGCTGTGGCTGCTAAGGTTCCTGTTCCTTGGCTTTTCCATAGGTAGCTTTGTGGGACCCAGGTGTGGTCTGAGGCTCCCCACCAGAGTCCCCATCATCTCAGAGCCCATCTGCTCATAGGGGGGCTTTAAAAAAAACCATAGCATATTTTTCAGGAAATGTGTTTGGGGCCTCTGTAAGTCTGTTTAGGGTTAAGATAAGGTGCTCCCTTCTTAGAATCTATCCTTTTTTTTTTTTTTTTTAACCGACCCTAAAAGAGTACTACTAACTAGCAACTT